TGTTAGTCCCTACCAAACCTCACGTTGAAATTTGGTCCCCAGTGTTGAAGGTGGGGTCTAATGGAAGGCGCTTGGGTCATGGGGGTGGATCCCTCATGAATGGATTAGTGCCTTCCCCATGTTGTGGGGTGAGTGAATTCTTACTCTCTTCATTCTTGTGATAACTACTTGTTAACAAAGAACCTGGAATCTCTCCCTCTTTCACTTGCTCCTGTCTTTCATGTGATCTCTGCATATGCCAGCTCCTCCTTGCCTTCTGCTATAAATGGAAGCAGCCTGAGGCCTCACCAGAAGCTGAGAAAATGCTGACATCATGCTTTTTGTACAGTCAGTAGAACCATGAGCCAAATACACTTGTTCCCTTTATAAATTATCCGGCCTCAGGTATTCATTTAGAGCAACACAAAATGGCTTAGGACACCTATATTCTAGTAGGATTAAGAGAATCATGATTAAGTAGAGGCTCTCAAATCTTTTAAGAATCTGATGAAATATATATATTTCTCCCTAGAAGTATGTATGTGTGGTCATACCAATTTCACATATAAGTCTGGGAGGTTTAGGCCAGGGGTCCCCAACCCTCAGGCCATAGACTGGTATCATCTATGGCCTGGGGGTTGGGGACCCCTGGCCTAAACCCCTGGTTCCTCTTAGGAACCAGGCCACATAGCAGGAGGTAAATGGTGAGCAAGTGAGGAAATCTTGATATGTATTTACAGCTATTCCTCATTGCTCACATTACCTCTTGAGCTCCACCTCCTGTCAGGTTAGCAGCAGCATTAGATTCTCACAGGAGTGCAAATCCTATTGTGAACTGTGCCTGTGAGGGATCTAGGTTGCACACTCTTTATGATAATCTAATGCCTGATGATCTGTCATGTCTCCCATCACCCTCAGATGGGACTGTCTAGTTGTAGGAAAACAAGCCCAGGGCTCCCACTGATTCTACATTATGATGAGTTGTAGAATTATTTCATTATATATTATAATGTAATAATAATAGAAATGAAGTGCATAATAAATGTGATGCACCTGAATCATCCCAAAACCATCGACCCTGTCCCACTGTCCATGGAAAAATTGTCTTCCACACAACTAATCCCTGGTGCCAAAAAGGTTGGGGACTACTGGTTTAGGCTATAGATATTAAAGTATAACAATCTTAGTTAGGAGTTGTGTTCACTCTAAATAAAAATAATGTATCTGGGTCTTTAAATTCTCAGTATTGAACAGCAGCATTTCTTAAGGAAGAAAAGAGGCATCATTCTTTACTTTGGATGGATGCCACCAGGTTACAGTAGAGAGAATTCTGATTGGCTACCAAAGTTCTTGATGCCTGATGTACACACACTTCCTTCCAGTTATTCCATCAAACACTCATCTAAAGACTACTATGAAGGGATTTTGCAGATGTGATGAAGGTCCTACAGCAATTGATCCTTAGATAGAAAGATAATCTGGGTGGACCTGACTTAATCACACGATCCCTTTAAAGGAGAGAGTTTTCTCTAACTGGCCAGAGAAGAGGAAGTCAGACTCTGGCAGTAATAGAAGGGTTTGAGGCATCATTGCAGCTCTGACAATGGAGAAGGCCACAGAGCACGGAATGTCGGTGGCCCATAGATGCTGGGAGTGGCCTTCACCTGACAACCATCAAGAAAACAAGGATCTCAGCCCTACGGTTGCAAGGAGCTGAATTCGGCCAACAACAAGAATGAGTTTGAAAGCAGATTTCCTCTTTGTTGTCTCCAGATGAGCACTTAGCCTGGTCAACACCTTAATTTCAGCTTTGTGGTACCTTGCACAGAAAACACACCAAGATGTGAAAGACTTCTGTTCTACAAAATTGTGAGCTAATAAATGGTGTTATTTGAAACTCCTAAGTTTATGGTGATATGCTATGCACCAATAGAAAATTAATACACCACGTTCCCAAGATGTTCACAGGAACTCTAGAGAGGACAAAATTTTCCCATTGTAGCAACTATCCAAAGAAGAAAAGATACTTCTCTGTTTGCCTTTAGAAGTTTTTTTCTTTCCTAAGCTTGAAAAACTAGGTTTAAAATAGCTAGCTTGAACCTAACAACTATACAGGGAGAGTCTTGCTCTGAGGACTCTTGGGATAAAATGCACGTGTGAACATTGATTTTATCCATTCCCCTTATAAGATATATAGTAAAGCTAACTTTTCACTCTAAACATGCAATCTAGCTTCCCTCTTGCCTCTTTTACTAAAATTCTCAAGCTAAGTCTTATGGTACTCACAGTGCAATCTTCAGTATTACTCACCAGGTACTAGGGACTCCACAGCCATACCCAAGGCTTGGAAGTGACACACAGGCCTAGATTATAGTTCACTTTCTGCTTCGATTTACCATGGGCAAGTTACTTAACCTTCTTGGCTTCATGTAGACACATGGCAAGTGAGGGGTTTAATTATTTGATCTCTGGTATCCCATTGCTATGATTTGAATGTATGTGTCCCTCAAAAATTCCTATGTTGAAACTTAATCACCAAGGTGATAGTATGAGAAGGTGGGCCTTTGAAAGGTGATTAGGTCATGAGGCCTCCACCCTCATGAATAGCATTAATGTCCTTATTAAAGAGGTTTCAGAGAGTGCTCATCCCCTTTTCTCTTCCACATCCCCCCATGTAAGAACACAGCAACAAGGTATGATCTTTGAAGCAGAGACAGCCAGCCCTCACTAGACACTGAATCCGCTGGTGCCTTGGCCTTGAACTTCACAGATTCCAGAACTCTGAGTTACCCAGTCTAAGAAATTTTAATATAGCAGAAGGAACAGACTAAGGCATTCATTTAGAGCTAACAGTCAAAGATTTAGACTTCTAGGACAGGCAGTCCCCTGACTCTAAAAACCAGTGATGTTAGATGAATACATGACTTGTATTTTTAAGGAGTGAATGCCCATCCTTCAATGTCTCAGATCCTTCTAACTTGTCCACCCAGGAGCTTTTCATTCTTGCTGGCACTTAGGATGTATCTCTTCTCCCTTTTCTCTGGGCCCTCTGTCAGAGGAAAACTCAGTGAATTTCCTTTCCACCTGGTCACATTTCATAGACTGTGACAGCTAGTGGCTGCTATGACCACAGCCCACAAATCCATTCTGAAAATATGTGGTGGACACTTTTCAAGTAATAGGTAAAAAGCTATGCTCTCTTGGTAAAGATATTTTAGGGGAGATCTACCTTCTGCTTCAATCCCTTTCCACGTCAAATTTACTAGCAAATTAGAATCAATATATAGCTTAATTACAATATTAAGTTTATCTGTTATCTTGAGATTATCATACCTTTATTCGTTCCAGGTGCCTGGAATGTTTGCAGATATGTTTCACAGAAATGCTAAGTCCTTAATCAATACAACAAAGTATCTCCAGCTTCCCCAGTGTGATAAATCTAGCAATCAATTACTCTGTCATAGTATAGGCCTGGTACAAGCAGGATTAAAAATATTATTGAAAAATTCTACCTCTTGATTAACTATTGATGAAAGTTCTCAGAATTAAAATGATATTTCTTAATTTACTATTTTTCAGAATTGGAAACCAAATACGCCAAACTATTATATTCTATAGATCATATTCCACAAGGTCATGAAATCTTCCAAGCATAAAAAGGAAAATTATCAGCCACCAGAAACAAAAAAATAGGTGAATAAAGCCACTCTTGATTTCTATTCCTAGGAATTCCAAGATATTTGCATATAGAAAATTATGTTATTTTGAAAGTAGTAATGAATTTGAAAACATCTCATGCTCCAGAAGCCTGATTTTAGATCTATTATGGAATTCTGTGCTCTACAAACAATGCCCTATTAATCCCCCTATCGACTTGCTTCTTATGGTCCTTGTCTGGAACTAGTTTTAGTGTACAATGAAGCATTTAAATATTTTATATAAATAAATAAAAGAGGATTGGGTAGTGAGTAACATCAAAGAGCTTCACTACTTGGCAGTGCTAAATGTCTGCGACAGCTTGGTTAGCCACTGAAAAATCACTCTAATGACATACTCACTGGAAATGTCCCCAGTTGCCTTAGAAAAAGTAAGATCCAACCAGGGAAAACTCTGTCCAGCTCCATCATGAAAACAGAATCTGCAGCTGAAAAAGGTACATAGGACTGTGTGAAGAGGTCTGCTGAAATATTCGGGGGTGACAAGTGTTTTGAGTTGTAGAGAAGATAGAGGTAGAGAAAGGCAGACACTGCTTCAAGGAGGAAGCAGCAATATGAGTTTGTATTTATTCCTTTACTCCACAAACATGCCAGCTACTACTATCTAGCAGGCACTGCACTGGGACAAGGTTTACATGCTGAATACAACACACCCTTAGTAACTTTGGCACTGGAATGTTAGAAAAAACCCCAGGTTGGGGTGGATAAGAGAAAATAGAATGGAACAGAACCTAAACCAGAATTTAACTCCTACTGAGGTAATGCGAGGATGGGTGCCATTTTTGCAAAGAGATCACTGTGGGACACAGTTTAAAGTTGTGCAGTATATAGAAAAATGCAACACAAAACACCTGGTCTGATGGTATTTCATTGAGAATTTTTTGCCTTAGGATAGTGTATGAAAAGATATGTGGATGAAGCTCAGTGGTGAGAAAAGACAATGTTGGGCTGTGCACAGGCAGAATAATGAAGAGGGTGAGTTGAGTAGTGTGATGGATTTTTTTTTTTTTTCCTCCAGCTTCTAGATCTTAATGGAGATAAAAAAATTTTGTCAAGATCTGATTTTTAAGTCCTCATATACTGGACTCTGACAGCTGAGCCATGGGTGGCAACTGCTTAAACTAAGTCACTTTAAGCAACCATTCAAAGTACTTATGCAATCAGGTTGAAACTATTTTTAATGAGGAGAAGAAGGCTCCTTGGAGGCACTGACAGCTCTTGAACCCTGATAGCACACTTTGCACAGAGATCCCCCAGAAGCTGGCTCTGAGCAACTCTTCACTTTTGCCATTTGATTAATTAAAGATGAATGGCAGAGACTTTTCCCTAAATGGGTTACTTGATTTAAGAGCTGCTGGCTAATTTTGGTTGGATACTTTAATAGAAGAGGGAAGAGAAAAGGAAAGAAAGGGGCTTGAAGAAAGAGGTAGAGAAAAGAAACACAAGGATGGAGAACAAAGAGAGACCATTTGGTAACAAATTTATTTCTTGATTTTAACCCTTAATTCCTAGGTCTTCCAGCTCGAGACTATTTTGATTTGGTTTATGTCATTCTTATGTCGTCTTCACCCAAACAAGGGATTTTATTTAACCATTGATAGGATTTTTGTTTGTTTGTTTTCTTAAATGCTGGTTTATCTGATAAACTCTGGGCAAATCTTAACAGGCCACTTCTTATATATGACGTTGATGTGGTTTGGTTTAGTGACATGGCTTAAAGGAGGCGTGAAAGTTTCATCTAGCTTTGGCACTAATAAAATGATTGTGAGACGTTGGTTGGGCAAGCTCCTTTACCTGTGTGAGCTCCAGTTTTCTAACAGGACTAGCTTTAGTGACCACTCACAGCTGTAGAATTGTAGGATTTTCATTTCTAGGTATCTGAGCATCACTGATATCCTTTGTCTTTTATATCAGTTATGAGCCTCTGTTTGGGTGCGGTCATTTCTTACAGGTCCTAACAATCTATTTTGTTGCCACAATACAACACTGAAAAAAACACATAATCCATGGCAGATTGGGAGTATTTATTTAACATAAAGCCATTTTTGATCTGTTACCTGGTTTAGTTTAAGTTTTACTTGGCCAAAATGGATTTAGAAGATTGTGGGGAAATATTTTTCCTACTGTTTGTGCAGGTATTCTTTGATAGGACCCATCCATCTCCCCTGAACTGACACCTCCTTTGTTCAAAATTTGTACCACTTGTCGTCCCATACACTAAACCCCCAAACAAAAGCAAAGCTAGAAGGCATGCTCGGGCAAAGGACTTGAGACTGTGTGAGCAGGAATGTGAGGAACAGCATGTCAAGGACAAATTCAAATGTAAGCATTTGGAAGATTAGCATCCAGGGAAACTTTTTTTGTATTCACTTTTGACTAATCAAAATAAATCTTTAAAATCACATTGGGGCTAGAAATTCATTTGTTTTTTCTTTAGAGAAAAGCAGATAGAAAAATCAAAAGCATACTGAAGCAGATCTATAGCTACAGTGACAGTTATGAATAGGTAGCATGCAAGATCCTTCAGGGTGGATTCCAGGAACTGAGCACAGTTCAGGAAGATCCTGAACTTGCAATTAATTATTTAGAAAATGCTCTCCTTGCTGCTAAGTAAGCACATGATGTTCTCTGGCACATCAATTAGTTTGAATTCTCAGCCCTGTAGCAAAGCTGTCAGGCAGGGCTGCTTGAATGCATTTCTAACTGCAAAATGATGAGGCTCCTAAGAGAGGTGCCCCCAGCTTTGCAGCATGACCCTGCTACAAGGATTTTAGCCTAAGGAGCAGGAAGATGCCTGGGTCTTTGAGGTTGATGGGAAAAATGGTGATTAAAAGAACTGATTAGCAACCTTAAGCGAGGGGAAAATGGGGGATGAAAACATGACACGTTAACCGAAATTTCTCGCTCTTACTCAAAGGAGAGTTATTGTAAGGATGAACAGTGCTGGGCATTTGAGGACTAGGTTGCAAAAGGGAGCTAGGCCTGCCAGGAGGTGATGATGGAGGCTTGCTGAGCCTGGTGGCCATTTGGGCAATAACAGAAGCGATAGTTTGTCCGGAATTGGTTCCTCCGGTGGGTTCTTGGTCTCGCTGACTTCAAGAATGAAGCTGCAGACATTCGCAGTGAGTGTTACGGTTCTTAAAGATGATGTGTCTGGATTTTGTTCCTTCAGATGTTCAGATGTGTCCGAAGTTTCTTCCTTCTGGTGGGTTCGAGGTCTCACTGACTTCGGGAGTGAAGACGCAGACCTTCGCAGTGAGTGTTACAGCTCTTAAAGGTGGGGCATCTGAAGCTGTTAGTTCTTCCGGGTGGGTTTGTGGTCTTGCTGGCTTCAGGAGTGAAGCTGCAGACCTTTGCACCCAGTGTTAAAGCTATTAAAAGTGACGCTTCCAGAGTTGTTCATTCCTCCTGGTGGCTTCGTGGTCTCGCTGGCTTCAGGGGTGAAGCTGCAGACCTTTGCAGTGAGTGTTACAGCTCATAAAGGTAGTGCAGACCCAAAGAGTGAGCAGCAGTAAGATTTATTGTAAAGAGTGAAAGAACAAAGCTTCCACACTATGGAAGGGGTCCTGCCTGGGTTGTCACTGCTGGCTGGAGTGGCCAGCTTTTATTCCCTTATTGGGCCCTGCCCACATCCTGCTGATTGGTGCATTTTGCACAGCACTGATTGGTCCATTTTACAGAGTGCTGATTGGTCCATTTTACAGAGTGCGATTGATTGGTCTATTTTTACAGATTGCTCATTGGTGTGTTTACAAACCTTTAGCTAGACACAGAGTGCTGATTGGTGCATTTACAATCCTTTAGCTAGACAGAAAAGTTCTCCAAGTCCCCACCCAACCCAGAAGCCCAGCCGGCTTCACCTGTCAATCACCCCTCTAAACAGGACACCCCAACTGCTGTTGCGAATTGGCCAGTGACCACTCTAGCTACTTCCTGCTGAATAGGGGTGAAGAAGGGGCCCCGTAGTTGTAGTGTCCTCCAGAAGGGAACACTTTAGGCCAGTGAAAGGGCCAGCAGGTCAGTCCAGGGGTCATTGGTAGAAGTTGTTAGTTGAGCTTATTTGGGGTTCCATTTGTAAGACCATCGGTAGCTTGATGGCCTCAATCCTAGAGGAAACAAATTTGACAAGAAGGTTAAAAATACAGGGCCAAAGGCGAGTAACAGTAAGATGGCTGCCATGGGACCCAGAAAGAGGAGAAGTCATGTTGCCCAACTCCAGAGGTTGGTATAAGTGTTTGAAACGCATTGTCTGATTTCAGAAGCCTTTTCCTGTGAATGCCGGGCGGCATCTCATACTATCCCTGACTGGTTAGTGTAAAAACAACACTCTTCCCCTAAGAAGGTGCAGAGTCCTCCTTTCTCAGCAAGGAGGAGGTCTAGGCCTCGGCAGTTTTGGAGAGTCACTGCTGCCAAAGAGTCTATTTGGGATTGTAGTTACTATCTTTACTGGATAGATTTTGTTATTTCTTGCAAACTATCAGAGAAATGCTTTGAGAACGTGTGGTAGTAGGATAATGAAGTAAACTGGCTATTCTGGTTCCTGTAGCAGTGGTCATTTCTAACCCTATGAGTAGGGTTATTAGTTGTATGGCCCTGCACTGATGGACTTGAGCTTTGAGGGACACTGATAGGGTCTGATTTCCGTAAGATTAGAAGTTAGGATAATATATATTACACTGTTAACTTTTAGCAAACTTTACTTTTGTTGAAAACCTTGTAAGTTTGGGATTTCACTTATTCTTTGTTATAAATAAGACCTCATTCAGTCCAGATTAACTTAAAATTGGTATAGATGGCTCCTTCCTGATTCTCTAAGTACTTTAAGGTTTGGCTGAGTGCAAACAGCTCGCACATTTGAGCAGACCAATTATTAGGCAATTTTCCTAATTCTGCTTCTATAAGAGTTTTCTTATCACCTACTGAATACCCATTGTGTCTTTTTCCTTAATCGCCTGGGAGGAACCATCTATTGTCCTGTCCTGAAGGGAGTTCCTCCTATGTCTGGTAGGACCTTCAGATTTAGATCCCCTATTAGAAAACCTGTTGGGTTCAGGATTTTTGATAGGAAGGCTACGGGTTGTCAGTGGCCTCAGTGCTTTCTGACAATGCCCTTGTTTACACTGACAACAAGGTGGTATTGGAGTGTTACAGGATCACAGAGAAGACCTTCAATTATCAATTATAGGTTTTATATTTACCCTGGCTTTTAAAGGAATAGGGTACACTGTTTTTTCTTTACTACTTCTATCTCTTTCTCTCTCTTTGACTCTCTGTTTCTCTGTCTCTTCCTCTCTGTCTCCTTCTCTTTGACTTCCTTTCTCTTTCTGTCTCTCGCTGTCTCTCTGTCTCTTCTTCTCTCTCTCTCTCTGACTTTCTGTCTCTTTCTCTCTTTCCTTCTGTCTTTGACTTTGTCTCTCTTTCTCTCTGCTGGTCTTTCCCTGCCTCTTCCAGCCGCTTATGCTGCTGTTCTCCCCTCTCCTTCCCCTTTTTGATGGCTTCAGCAGTGTAAGACTGCCACCTCCTTAGGTTTTTGCACTGTGTGCAATAACTCCATAATTTCCTTGTGGTATTTAATGGAGACTCCCCCAGAGGTTAGGAACTCCCTTTCTTTCCATATTGCAGCATGGACATGTAGGGTTGTAGGATTAGATAAGCATACTTGCTATCTGTATACATATTTATTCTTTTTCCTTTTCCCAGTTCTAAGGCTTGGGTAAGCGCCACTAGTCTTGCTAACTGGCGTTGGTCCCTGGGGGAAGAGGCTTACTTTCAAGTATGGTTACATCACTAACTATGGCATAACCCACCCTTCATATCCCATTCTCCACAAATGAACTTCCATCAGTATATAGGTTAAGGTCTGGATTAGCTAAGAGGACTTCTAAGAGATCATCTTGGGCGGCATAAGTCTGGACTGTAATTTGTTGGCGGTCATGCTCGATTGGTTCCCCATCCTCTGGGAGAAAAGTGGCAGGGTTGAGGGCCACGCATGTATATATTTGAAGCACTGGTCCCTCAAGGAGTAGCTCCTGGTATCTAAGGAGGTGGTTGTCTGACAGCCATAAACTTTTTGGCACCTAGTATGCCATTTACATCATGAGTAGTGCAGACAGTGAGATCCTTTCCTTGTATTATTTTGATAGCCTCTGACACTAAGATGACCACCGCTGCAACTATCTGTAAACAGTGATGCCAGCCTTTTGCTACTACATCAGTTTCCTTACTTAGGTATGCCACTGGTTGTGGGGTTGTCCCACGAGTCTGAGTAAGGACTCCAAGAGCTATCCCTGCTCTCTCCGTGATGTATAAAGAGAAGTTTTGTCCTATGGGAAGGCTTAAAGCTGGAGCTTGTACTACAACGTGCTTTAAGGTTTTGAAGGTTGTTTCTGCCCCTGGTTCCCATTCTACTAGATGGGTATTTGTCCTCTGGGTCTCCTTGATTAGAGTATAGAGGGGCCTGGCTATCTCGCTG